CTCTCTCTCTACACACTGTCTTTCAAAAATGAATAAACACTTAGAAAAATTGAAAAAATCAGAGAACTTAGTGCTTTCAAAGAGCCAATGAGTCTGGTGTATAAGGAATAAATGGGGGAGGGCATGCTCAGTGAGGCTAGCAGAACAAGAGGGAGCAGCACCAGGAAGGCGAAGGATAACAGTACACAAAATATCAGCTGCCTATGAATTCAGTCACTCCTAAAGTACCATCAATGACAATCTGACCTACATTCTTCCAGCATGCTCTAAGAATCGTAATTTGGCCATGACCTTTTCAACTTCTTAATGAGAAATCTGGAATCAATAACAATAGTAATAACTTATTCCAAGTGACAGGCATCATTCTAACCCCTTTGCAGATATTACCTCCTTTCATCCCCTCAATCCAGTAAGGTCCGTACTGGCATCACCATGGGACATATGAAGAAACAAGTGCTTAAGGGACATTCAGGATTAACAGGCTGTAAAGACAGCAAGCAATTAAGTGAGGGATAAATATAAGACCCTGTAATTAATAAGAAATATCAATTACCTAAGAAAAATGGAAAAAAAAAAGGCTTTCTAGCCTGCAAACTTAATAAAGTAACACAATGGCTGAAGAAGTAAAGATGGAAAAGAATCACATTACTATCAAAATACTACTTTTAAAGCACTTTCAAAGTATTAACCCCACACTCTACAAACTAAAGACAAAGTTGTTTTCTCAAAATCACACACTTAAAATAAGTATAAAAACCAAGGTTAAAACCCAGGTCTGACTTAGAAACCAGAACTATTTCTTCTGGGCCTACTCACTGGACAGGCTTAGCTTTAAAGGGTAAGAGAAACAAGAGTCAGAGTGAAAACACTGCAGTTTTAAGATAAAGAGTTGCTGGATTTATTCGGGAAAAGGGCCGAATAACAGGTAAAACTAAGGACGTAGAAGTATTTTTTTTAATGTTTTATTTATTTCTGAGAGAGAGAGAGAGAGAGACAGCATGAGCAGGGGAGGGTCAGAGAGAGAGGGAGACACAGAATCTGAAACAGGATCCAGGCTCTGAGCTAGCTGTCAGCACAGAGCTCGACGCGGGGCTCGAACCCACAAACCGTGAGATCATGACCTGAAGTCGGACGCTCAACCGACTGAGTCACCCAGGCGTCCCAGGATGTAGAAGTATTAAATGATAATCTAACCCAGCGTTTCGAAGTAGAGAGTACTATAAAGGAAGATAACAACAGACACCTACGGATGACGCAATGAACCTGTCTCTTCCTCCCTCCCCTCAGATAACTTTTTTATCACGGAATCCTGGTAAATCAATTAGAAGCCAGGACGTGATAACTGCCATGGGATTCAAGAAGAGCAAAAGAAAACGAGTAATGCCAACCGAGGTGTTTAACCAAGAGACGGTCAATTAGGCCTTGCTCTTCCTCCAAAAGCATTTTCACCTCTCTCTGCCTCTCCATCCACTCTGAGCCTCTCTCCCCTCCTCCCCCGGGGTCCCGTCTGCTAACTCTCCAATTCGTTGTCCCAAACTACCTTGACTGTCTCCAGACTGGCCCCTTCCAACACCACAATGAGCCTTCGCCCTCCGGTCTTGTTTCCCGCCCCGAGTCGGGGCCGCTTGGGAGCCACAGCATGCCAGCCCTCTTCCTGCTCTCCGATCCGCCGTTCACGAGGTTGGAAGCCGCCACTGGGCGCAGCCATCTTGCAACCGGACCGGAAATTGCGCTTCTGTCCTTAAACCTCGCGCTTGCCCTAATCTCAACCTTCCTTCCGGCTGCCATTTTGAAAGTGGGCACTTGGAAATGGCGACCGCTTGCAATCTGGCGCTACCGAAGCCTCTCTGGAAGGGCAGAGTTCCAGAAAGAGGCGGGAACCTCCGGGTGCGTCTTTCCGGTGCGCGAAGTTCGGGTCCTCCTTGGGCGCTGGGGAGCGTTGAGGAGGGAGCGCACTTCCGGTGCCCTTTCTCCCGCAAGCACCGCGGGCCGCGGACCCTCGTGTGAAGGGTGCAATCTCTAAACTGGAGCCGGGTAGAGGCGGGCCGGCACCCGCTTCTGACCTCTGGTGCCGCCGGCCTCAGGATCGGACATGGCCCAGAACTTGAAGGACTTAGCGGGGCGGCTGCCCTCCGGGCCCCGGGGTATGGGCACGGCGCTGAAACTGCTGTTGGGGGCCGGCGCCGTGGCTTACGGCGTCCGCGAATCTGTGTTCACCGGTGAGCAGCCTCTGCCCGCTCTCCGGACTCCCCCCTTCCCCGCCAGACCTCTGCCCGGCCCCGCGGCGTCCCCGCGCCCACCCAGCCCCTTGCCCCGCCCCTCGCCCCTCGCCCCTCGCCCCCAGGCTAGTACTACCCTCAGCAGTGTTTTGGGCATGACCCCCACCCCTCTCCCCACAGTGGAAGGCGGGCACAGAGCCATTTTCTTTAATCGGATCGGTGGCGTGCAGCAGGACACCATTCTGGCCGAGGGCCTTCACTTCAGGTAATGGCGGGCAGAGCGGACTGACCCTGACCCCTTCACCCTTGAACGCCAACCCACCAGTGGTGGTAGTAGGGCTTCCAAAGGCTTCAGCGCTGCTCTCTTACCGCCCCCCCGCCCCGCCTTCTGCCGGAACACTGGGTGCTGCCCAAAACTCGGGCAGCGCATGGACTGTTCTCCAGAGGGAGGAGAGGGTTTCTCTTTGCGCGTGGTCGTTAAGAGGTGGAGCAGGCCAGGAAGCGCGTGGTGAGGGAGAGCCTAGGAAAACTAGTGAAACTGCAGCCTCCTAATACCTATCCCCGTTCCCTCTCCTCCAGGATTCCCTGGTTCCAGTACCCTATCATCTATGACATTCGGGCCAGACCCCGAAAAATTTCCTCCCCGACAGGCTCCAAAGGTAGGTCTGGGCACCTGGGAGGCCCTGCCGGAGGGCTGCATAAAGTAAGCAGGGAAGCCTGGCAAGAGACCCTAGGGGAAGGTGACAGCGTCACCTCTCGTGGGTCCTGGTTTCCTTTCTGCCAAAGAGCGATAATAAAAGCACCTGCTTCCGAGGTTAAAGCCAAACGTTTTGGACACACTGTGTGTTTGCCCGTGTCTGTCAGCCGCCCTCCCCACTGATGATGTAAGTTCAGTGAGAGCATTGTCTGCCCTTTGCCTTAGTCAGTGCCGAGTCAACCTTTTATCGTAAAACCTTGTTTTCTTTTAACTGCTTGGCTAATTATCTCCAGTCGTTTCACCTGTGCTGGGGAAGCTTGGCCCACTTTTTGCTGGTTAACTCGTTGCCTCTTAGTCCATATCTAGAAGCTGAGTCTGAGATCACCCAGAGCCCTTTCCCACCTGCATGTGCACACACACACACACATGCATGCACACTGATTCCAGTAGCTCACCTTAGCTCACCTGAAGGTGGTTTAACATTCTCTGAATGCTGGGCCCTGCAAATAAAGGATTCATAAAACACCATCCTTGCCCTCAAGTCCATGGGCTAGTAAAAAATGCAAATGATTTTTTTTTTTTTTTTTTTGAGAGACGGAATCCCGGGTGGGCTGTGCGCTGAGAGAGCTCAGAGCCAAACGCAGGGCTCAACTGCACAAACCGTGAAATCATAACCTGAGCCAAAATCAAGAGTCAGACCCTTAACTGACTGAGCCACCCAGGTGCCCCAAGAACGCAAATGATTCTGGTGCAGCATGAGAGAGCCTACACTCGAAGTTGAACACAGGACAGAAGCAAAAGGAGAAGTCAGCTTTACTGGTGGAGAGCTTGTGGGTAGAGAAGATGTTAACAGTGGGAAAGAATACGTTTGGCCCGTTAGCCCGGTTACCCTCCATTCCCCCCCCCCAAGGAGTCCCAAGCCACACAGTGCGCACTAGGTGTAAAGGGAGGCATGTGGAGGAGGAAATGCTTGCGGAAAGGTTCATGGCTCAGAGTCCAGATGAGACCCCCATGGCCCGGACCAGCCCCTGCTGACCTCACTCTCAGACCTGCAGATGGTGAATATCTCCCTGCGAGTGCTATCTCGACCCAATGCCATGGAGCTTCCCAGCATGTACCAGCGCCTCGGGCTAGACTATGAGGAGCGAGTGCTACCGTCCATTGTCAACGAGGTGCTCAAGAGTGTGGTGGCCAAGTTCAATGCTTCCCAGCTGATCACCCAGCGAGCCCAGGTCTGACCTATCACCATCTCCTTGGCTTCACACCTTCCCTCGTATAGGCCTAGAGCACTGGGTATCAGGAAAGGTGGCAGCTTATTAGCAAAGGGTCATGACCCTAGGTCCCATTTCACCTTAAGCTGTACTACTATCCACTGAGAAACCAGGAGAGTTGAGATCACTCAGTAGCAATCAGCATCAGGAAACGGGAGAAAACAATAGCAGAGTCTAGAGATATGTTTTCTGTTGAGGAGAGAGGAAGATGAGGAGTCACTGTGACCTGCTGAGAGGATTGGACCGAGTTCTTTATCAACTCAGATGTTCTAGTGAGGAGCTAAGAAAGGCTTCATAGTTTTCTGTCGTTCTCAGGACATCGGGTATTCAGACGGTCACAGCAATACCCTTCCCTTCCAGTTATCCAGTCCCTGCAGCCCACCCCTCCCTGACCCCCCTCCCCCCGACCCCCAGGTGTCCTTGTTGATCCGGCGGGAGCTGACAGAGAGGGCCAAGGACTTCAGCCTCATCCTGGATGACGTGGCCATCACAGAGCTGAGCTTTAGCCGGGAGTACACGGCCGCTGTGGAAGCCAAGCAAGTGGGTGAGTCACAAGACGAATGGGGTTTCTGAGAAGGCAGGAGGTGGGCTGTGGTTCCTGAGCCCTCACACCTGTGACCTCCTGGCGCTCTCGCACCACAGCTCAGCAGGAGGCCCAGCGAGCCCAGTTTTTGGTGGAAAAAGCAAAGCAGGAACAGCGGCAGAAGATCGTCCAGGCCGAGGGTGAGGCCGAGGCGGCCAGAATGATATCCTTCTGCTTGGGAGTCTCTGCCCAGCACCTGGAGCACTCTGCTCCCCCTTCTCCCTCACGGGCCGGCTGATGAGACCAAGGCGAATGCGACTCGGCGCCGTCCCATCCTTGGCTCCCTGGGGGTGGAGGTTTGGAATGAGATCTGACTTCTTAGTGGGGTGCCTGAGGCCTGGCTCCTCGCTGTAAGGTAGATTCATAGCAGTGCTGGCCTTGCCTGCGTTTCTGCTGCTGCCTCCGGCTCCTGGCAGCTGCCTGCGGGGGCCCCACAGACAGGGACCGAAGTGGGACTAGGCACGAGCTTTCTGAGCGCATCCTTGGATCTGACAGCCCAGAGAAGGGCTGGAGTGGAAGGATGGGACGGGGGGCAGGTGAGACCAGAACTGGACCCTGTGTGAACCCTTGACCCCAGCCTGCTCACCTTGGAGAGGCCCTGAGCAAAAACCCGGGCTATATCAAGCTGCGCAAGATCCGGGCGGCCCAGAACATCTCCAAGACGGTGAGTACAAGAGCCCAGTGTCCCCTAAAGGCCGCCATGAGTCTGGGATCGTTTTAAGTGAAAGCACATTGAGTGCAGGGACTCAGATACTGCTTGCTGGGGTCTGTCCTCAAACTGGCTTCTCCCAACACTCTTCCTCCATCAGAACAAAAGGCATGACGTTTTGTGCGCACCTCTGTTCTGGTGCTGATCCATCACCGTTGCTCACGGCTCTGGAACTTTGTTTGAGGGCAGAAACCGTGCCTTAACTCGGCGCTGTAACCCTGTTCCTAACCCACATGTGTTCAGTGATTATCGAAGTGCAAGGTAAGAATCCAGGTGTGACTTCAGCATCTGTTTTTGTTTCCCACCTTGTAGATTGCCACGTCACAGAACCGCATCTATCTCACTGCTGACAACCTTGTCCTGAATCTGCAGGATGAAAGCTTCACCCGGTGAGACACCTGCACGGGGGGGCATCGCAGAGAGCAGGGGACCTGAGTCTGGTGGCTTGAAAGACACCGTTTCTCTGAACCAGTTAGAAAAGTGGGTGCTTGACAGTCCCGAACTCGACTCTCACGTGATTGGTTTTATGAGATCAAATATGATTGTTCTTGTAAAAGCACCCTGGTTGTGAGGTTCGGTCTGACCGAAAAGTAGCAAAAGATGACGTTGGGTCCTCTTGCTCAGAAGGCCCTGAAGCCGCTACTCTAGGGCTTGGGAGGAGGGTGCCGGCAGGGGAACCAGTCTCCCTTCTCAGTGGGACATTCCTGGTTCCAGATGGGGGTTTTTTCCCTCTTGGGAGCTGAGGTGGGCTTAGAACTGCTGGGGCTGGAACTGTTGGATCACATGTACATTTCTCTTCTCTTCCTGTGTTTCCCGTTCGTCTGGTGACCTGGTGTCCGCAGGGGCAGGTGAGTTTTGTGTCTGTAGGGTCTCGCCTCTCCCCGTTCTCCCCTCGTCGCTCGCACACCCTCACTCAGGAAGGAGGGAGCGGGCCGAGGTGCCCGCCCTCTCACACTTAACGTTCTCTAATGTCTTCCGTCTGTCTGATTTCCACAGTGACAGCCTCATCAAGGGTAAGAAATGAGCCCAGTGACCAGGAACTCCACGGCCAGCAAAGTGGATGTGTTTCTCCCCTGGTTGTTGAGGAGCCGGCTTGGGGTCCAGCACAGCCCCCATCCCACCCCCCGGTATCATGTGATGGTCCCTTCCGCATCTGGCCTCCCAGCCCTTCTTGGATGAACAAAGCCTGCCGGCTTCGGGGGGGATGATTTTGCTCCTCCCTGTGTTGGCCAGAGGTGTAGGGACACTGATTTCTGAGTGATTTCCTACAGTGTTGATTCCTACCTCCAGGTTGGGAGGCTATAACCACCGTCCCAGGAATTCTCAATAAATTTTTATTTCTTAAGCTGAAGTCTTTGCATCCTGTGTCTGAGTTGGGGGGCGGGGCGAGTAGGAGAGTCACGCATGCGCAGTTTAGCATCATGCTCTCCTGGGTCTCTCCCTGTGTCTACCAGCAGGGGGAGCCAAGGTTCCGACCCGGGCAGTTAGCGAGGCATTAAGAGCCTGGGACCTGCTTCTGCTTCCCGTGGAGGCCCAGCTGAGGCCAATCCAAAGCGACCTCAGCTCCCGAGGCCCAGCTGCACTTCTCACTCCACCCGACACTTATACTGCACACCATTTCCTTCTTTTAAGGCGGGAGCAGCTGTGGCTTTGCTTAGCTAGACCAAAATAATCTGATGACCCCAACACAAGCTGCTTCCTTGGCAGCGATGTCCCATGCAGCTGTGTGGGAAACCATTTGTGCCCGTCTAGGTCGCTGATGTGTTCAAAAGCCCAGTGGGTCATGTTGCCCTGGGCTACCCGTACTCCCAATTTCTCAGCGGTCAGATGTGTGAAGCGGCTCGTGGAAAGGGCTTTCCCTCTGGAAGTCGGGTTTTCAAGCCAGCAGCCCTGGGCACCCAACAGAGCGAGCGCCTGTTTTCAGTCCCTACGTGGGCTGCCTCCTCTCCTTCCCAAGCCAGCCCTGGCGATCATGCATTAGAGACACGAAGCCACTGCATGGGCCTGACTGCCACCACACCCCCTACCTCCCATCCCTTGTGCTTATGGGGAGACCAGGAACCTCTGGAACCATTAGCACTGGGGGCAAAGTAAGCACAGAAAGTACAGAGGGCGTGGCAGGGGAGGAGAGGAGCCTTACAGGCTTAGGGACTGGGTTCAGCTTCAGCTTCTCAGGTTGTTGAAGATAAGCAGGTTGATTTTTCCCTTCTCCGCAGCTAAGTGTCATAAAATGGACAAGGAGCTGAGGCCGCTATGTCAGCCCCAACCCCTCAGGAGCCAGGAGCCTCAGATGAAGTCAGCAATTAGACAAAAGACGAGTCCAGTGACCTGAATCAGTTGGCCACAAGTCCCTAGCCACACTTTATTTCTTTCATCTTCCCAAGGGGAGAAGAGAACAGAGGTGCCCTGGACAACAGGTAGCTTCCAAATCCTGCTGCAGCTCTAGAGGCAGCCATTTTGTCTCCTCCCCATTGTTCCCCTTGTCTAGTGATTTATACCCCCCATCCAGAGGGGTAAAGGTCAGAGGTTGTTGGTTAGGAGGCCTCCATGGTCTTCATGGCTCTCTGAGGGCCGCTGGTGAGGGAACCGGCCCGGGGGCCATCTTTACCAGACAGTGTTAGGAGCTTCACAATCAGACCATCCAACACTGTACTGGAAGATGGACCCAGAGGCGGCCGACATGCAGCTTCAGGCTAGAGCTGACCAGTTGCTACAGGGACCCTGGCCGCAGTCCAGGTGAGGTCTCTTGAGAGTATGTGAGCCAATCCCAAGCTCAAGGTCGGCTGTGGGTTCTGGATCCACCAGATGACAAATCACACTGCGTTGGGGGAGGGGCTCGGGCCATTGTGTCCCTTCAGTGGGCAGTCAGCCAACTGAGAGCCACCTTTCTTGCAGCACCCCTCACTCAAGATGAAGGGGCTTCGTCGGCATGTGGGAAAGTTCAGGAGAGGGGGTTGCAGCCAGCGGGGCTCTGGGGGCCTGAGGCCGTAGATGTCGCTGACACAGGAACAGGGGCCTCCATCATTACCCGGCAGTATTAGAGACTCCCGACCAGCACCCAAACACTGCTGGGTAAGACGGGGGCCCCTGCCCAGCCTGCCCACCTCCAGGTCTGGCAGTCCCACGGCCAGGCCCCCTGTGGAGAGGCTGCATAACCCTGGCTCCCATCCCCCACCACCCGAGTCCCTGGGGACACTTCCGGGTGAGCCTGGAGCCCGCCACCAGCCCCACCCTGAGTTGCTGATCCACTGAGGCTCAGGTAGGTCTTCCGCAGGCCCCTGCCCAGCAGTTCTCCGCCTCTGAGCCCCTTCCCCCGCCGCCCCCACAGCTTGTCCCTGATCCCCCCACACGCACCAACTCATCGGTCTTCATCCCCACTCGGTGGTCCCTAGCCCGGCCCTAGAATCCCTCTCCCAGGGGCCTTTACCTGTCACCGGGCCGCCTGACCCCCACAGAGCAAGTGCCGGAGGAGAGGAAGGGGAGTCAAGGCCCAGGATTCAACGGCCTAGAGCCCGCCCGCCGGGCCTCCACTCTTCCTCCTTCCTTCTCCAGAGCCTGGCAGCGCAGGCTCCTCACCTGGGCCCCGCCCGCCGCCCCTGCGCACAGGTGTGTCCTCCTGCCATAGGCTGCCCCCCCACCGCCTTAACCCCTTCCCTCCCAGGGCCAGCCGCAGGCACCTCCTCTGAGGCCTGGTCACCCCACTGGGCCTCCCACCCTTTCCTAGAGATCCCTCCTGCCCTTCCTGCCCCCTCTGCCCCCTGAGCCTACACTAGGGAGCCTGGTCTCAAGCGGGAAGAAAGAGGCTGTCTCTGGGCTCCTGTGCCTTCCTCTCGGCCTCTCCCCTCACTACGTCTGCCCTGCAGAGCCCCTTCCTCTGAGGCCAGACAGCCCAGGGGTCAGCGAGGGGTCAGCTCAGCAGGGATTGGGTCGTGCCCCCAGCCTGTGCCGGGCACCCTGCCTGTTGAAGGTGCCATCAAGCCCTGGCAGGGTGCCTCCTGTCCTCAGCCCTAACGCTGGGGAGCCCACCCCTGCCAGGAGGCCAGAACGGGCTGGAGCAGCGGTACGGACCCCGCCGTGCCAGTGAAAGCACCGAGCTGCTCTTCCGCAGCCCTCATAGTCCTCCGGCAGCGGGGAGAGAGGCGCTGCTGCTCTGGGGAGAAGGGCGGGGGACCAAGCACCCCAGGGCAGAGCTGCTCCTGGACCCACCTCAATGCCCCGGGGGCAAGTCCCAGCCCACTGAGCAGTTGGCCCTCGGGTGGTTAGAGGGGATGGAACCTGCCTTTCTTTTGTGCAGCCCTAGGCGTTGCTGGGAAAGGAGCCCCCCACCCCCACCCCAGGCTGCAGGTGACGCCCCCCCCCCCGCCCCCGCACCGCCAGGAGGGCGATGGCTCCGGGAGCCAGTGTGTGGCCCAATCCCAGCTCCCCTTCTCTCTCCCGCTCCCTCTCCATCTCCTTTGTTTGCGTCCTGCTTAACACCTGTCTGTCCTTATTTGCTGTTTGTGGGCTGGTCTCCTAGCTCGACAGGAACCGTCTTGTTCGTGTCACGCCCTCAGCACTGCTCCAGTGCCTGTGACACAGCGGACACTCAACAGCAAAGCATAGGCCGATGAATGACAGTAAGGGCTGCCCCAGCCCCAGGCCTCTCCGGCAGCAGGGAGCTGCTCCTTCCTGGGCAGAACCCTCCCAGGCTTAACTCACCAGGAGAAGGGCCTTAATTTAAATCAAGAGGAAGCCTTCACACAAAGAAGGGGTCCTTGGTAGTCCACCTGGACACAGGGCAAGGCA